CCCTCTGCTGTCCTCTCTCCATTTTCTCATGGAGACCCCGTCCCAGGGGCTTCGGTGTCTGAGCTCTTGGCTCTGCCCCACTGTGTCCACGCACGCACACACTCACTCAGACGAGGGTGGGGTGTTGGACCAATGGCACCGGGGTGAGTAGCAGCCCCCAAGGGTGGGAAAGTGAGTCAGAGCCCCCATCTCCACTCATCATCACCCAGCTTAACTGCAGGTGACTTCATGACCTAAATAATACCAAGGAGACTCCTGCAGGAGTAGGGTCTGTGGTGTGACGGAAGCCGGGCAGGCGGGCATGAGGGAGAGAGGCCCTGGGCGAAGAAGGAGGCAGACACTGCCCAGGACCGCTGGGCACAGCTATGCAGGTCGTGCGCTGCACAAGTCTAGAGAGCACAACAACGTTAAGCGCAAGTGGCTCCCTCCCTTCCAGAGCGAGCGGGCCTGGTTCTCTGGCCTTTGACCAGCAACACACCCTTCACCACCCAGAAGCCTGGACAAATGAATCTGGAGTCAAGGTGAGTGGGTGAGAAGCCAAAGGCAAGTTTCCTGAACTCAGCCCAAGTGGTCCCATCCTGCCCTGGTGCCAGTGTCACTTCACCTGAGTCAGAGCTTGGGGCAGGTATGGCCTCCTGGTGACCCGTGCTGACATCCGTCACTGAGCTAATGAGCTTGGAATCTGAGCGTCGGCCCCACCCAGGCTCCCTGCACTGGGCGTCCATTCTAGCAGATACAAATGCCGGATGTGGGGTCAGATTGGGATGTCAGATCAACAAGGAACAGCACCTTTTTAGCATAAGTAGGTCCCGTGTAACATTTGGGACGTACTTGCACTAAAAAGTGCTGTTCGTTGTTGATCTGACAGGCACATCCAAGTGGCATCTTGTAATTTATCTGGGACGGTCTCCCTAGACTAGGGCCAAACCCCTGGAGGGATTCCCTACCTTCCCAGCCCGACCTGCAGAACCTGCCTGGCCTTCTCCAACGGCTGGGCTGCACTGCCCTCTAGTGGACAGATGCCAGGAGGGTGGACTACAGAACGGAGCTCCAGGTTTCCTGGACCCCTCCTCTGCCCCTGGGGGTCAGGGGGCCGGCCACGGCCTGGTAATTATCCAGAGCCTACCACCTGCCCAGGGCCAGCTGCCCGTCAGTGAGTGCAGTGGTCATTCCTGGACTGCAAGCAGGCCCTGGGCTCTTGTCTGGAGACACCCTGAGATGGAGCCCAGCGGGAGGGCTGCAGGCCCCTGTGACTCTCTGGGCCAGGCCGCAAAGGTGTCTCCCAGGGCCCAGGTGGGGCGGCACTTGGGGCCGGGGCTTCAGCTAGAGCCTGTCTCCTCCCTCCTTCTGCTCCTATTTGAGTGTCATTTTCTTCCCCCGGACTCCCCAGCCCAGCGCAGTCCGTCACGGGCTGTCTCCCCGTCCCCTCAGTGCACACAGAGCGGGGGCTGTGCCAGTGGGATCCCTGGAGGCTGGGGGCAGCAGAGCCCCCAAACCAGTCACAAGGCCGTCTGCTCTTGGGGCCACCCCGCACCTGGGACACAATTGTCCCTCCCTCTCTCCCTGCCTCCCTCCCCTCTTCCTTTCTTTCATTTCTTCTTTTTCTTTCCTCCTTTCTTTTTCCGTTCTACAAAACATGCCTTTCCTGTCTTCTCTATCCAGCAGTTCTGGTCCATCCCCAGCCCCCCGTGCAGGGCCCAGCACCTCACCCGTGGGCTCTTCCTCCATAAAACACACTGAAAATTGTATTCTAGGACTGTGTTGGTAGAAATACAAATGTAATCATCAACCCTAAAAGTTCACTTTGTTTCCTTCTGACTTGAAAAGAGATGAAACCACTTCTATGGGCTCTTAGAAAGAGCTGTGGGCCTCCTGGACAGTGGGCCCTGCCCAGGTGCCACCCGTGTCGTCACGTGGGGTCACAGCACTGTGCCTATATCCTGCCAGCAGAGAGCCCCACACTGATGGGGGGAGGTAGTCAGGGGTCCTGGTCCCATGGGGAAGCCCAGCATTAAGGGGGCCCAAGTGACCCATCAGCTAGGAGGACCCTGTGAGAGGTCATTTGAGCTGGGACCCCCCCACCCCAGCAGGGGTTGCTGTGAAGGGGAGGTGGGGTGGGTGGTGGAATTCCTGGCAGAGGGAGCAGCATTGGCGAAGACACTGAAGCTGGGAAGAGCACGTGCTTTCTGGGGACTGAAAGGAAAATGGGGTTGGGGTGAGGGTGGGGTCACAGAGAAGGACAGTCTGCTGCCCCAGAAGCCAGTGCCACTGGCCCGGAGAGAAGCAGGCAGGAGGCTAGCTCCCCCAGGACTGCCACCCCAGAGTTCTCCTAGTTCATGTTACTGCAGGGGCCTGTCCCCTATCAGTGTCCCCCCAAACCCCTACCCCTGGAATGGCTGCAACTCTTCCTCAACTACCCCCAGGGGAGGGCTCTGTGGAGCATATTATGGAAAGCAGCCCATTCAAAGCCTTTGGCTGAGAAGTGTCACCTGCCGGGACCTGTTCTAAGTTAATTATTGAGGAATGGGGCAGAGGCTTAGCCAGAAGGTCACGCACCCAGCCTTCTTCAGGAAAGACAAAGCTCTCACATCCTAAATGCCACTGAGAGGCGACTGATGACAACTAGGGTCCACTCAGGCCACAGAATACTGTGCAGCCCTTGAAACGGAGCTGACCTGGACCCTTCAAAGGGGAAGAACACTGTCCGGGCCCCGAGGTCTGCCCGAGCCCCACACTGATGTGTGGCCCTGCCTAGGCGCCCCTCAAGAAGTCCAAGACGCTGGGCGGAAACAAGTGTTTCTGACGCCAAAGGGAAGCTTGTTCTTATTATGAGGGTTAGACAGTCTCTTTCACATATCAAAATAAAGCACAACATGGAAAACGTCACTGAGAACTGGAGGGTCCCCAGGAGTCTGGCTGAGGACTCCAGTTCTATTGAGAAAAGCAGATCACAGAAAAGTGCAGAGCACGTGGCCTCATTTATATCAAGTACACACATGTGCGCAAGTGTCTACCGGGGGCCGCGTGTGACTACACCTGGAAAGCTGTGCACTTAGATGCTACAGTGCTAACTAATATCAGTTAGACGTCGAGGTAACAGGAGACTTCTCTTTATTCTCGTTCACCTGTATCTTTTTCTTTTTCTTTTTTTTTAAAAGATTTTTATTGGGGAATTGGGGGGATGGGAACAGTGCTGGGGAATTGGGGGAAGGGGAGCAGACAAGTTGCTGTCGTTTTGTTCTTCAGTCTAGTTGTGGAGGACGTTGCTTCACTGGCCCAAGTTGGCACCATCATTG